AGTATTCTCCGTCTTAATGTGGGGAAACACTAGTTTAAAAAGGACCAAGTAAAAGCATATTCGCCGAATTTTACCATCTCTATCGACCAAATTTTATTATATAAAGAAAGCCACTTTACATGTATGTTACGGACCAGAAAGTCCAATATCATAATATTGTCGAAACTTTTAACACAAAAAACAGCGTCGAATGATCTTAAAACTCTCAGATTGTTCAATGTATATATAAAAAAAGGGAAGCATCTTTTTAGGCCAAATAAAGAAACCGACTCTAAACTGAACACAAAAATGAGAGGATTTGAAAGCTTCTTCTCCCATTCGTAGTTTTAAGTAGCGAAATATACTTAAAAAAGTATTATGAAAAGCTTTTTCCTAACTAAGGAAAATTAGAGAGCAAAGATTAGTAATACATTATAGAGAGTGATCCTGGGTCGCTATTGCAGAGTCGACTTCTTTATTTACTCATATTTAGTCCTAAAGGAGCAGTTTGACTCTCAACACTCCCCCACTTGCTGAACTTAATTACAGAGTGTATAATAAAGCAATTTCTTGTCCAAATTAAGTCTACAATTCTCACAGTTACTACCACAAGGCGAAGTATTCACTGCACAAAACCCACTACGCTTATATAGCTACATGTATACATATACAGTTAAACGCCACCCCGCTGCGAGTTATTCAAGCGCTCTGACCTATCATCGGCAACGTTTTGCCAGCATCGTCAAGGCCACCCGCCATGCTGTTGACAAATAATTCATGCAAAGCTGAAGATCTCTTCGAAGGACATCAACACAAAGACCAATGGGAATTGTTTTTCGGGGCAATGTGCCGAAACCGCAACCAAGCAAAGGCGACGAGGAGCAGGAGCAGCTATGGCTGCATCAAATCTTCTCATGACAAAAATTAAAATCGTAAATCATACGTGCAGCTGGCGTGTGAGCGAGTTATCGAATGGTCGGAAGGATGTAGAAACGGGTTCAAAAATTTCGAAAATATCCAAAGGAATACACACACACACACACGCACATGCACAACTGCATAGATCTCCCCTCAATATTTCAAGCCACTGCTGGCTCTTTCGGGCTTTTGTTCCGCGCTGCGGCCTCCGATTTCATGCAGCCAGGGTGGATGGGGTAGCTGCGGTTGATTTTGGATCAGCTGCGTTGATGCGATTGTCCCTCGGTGTCTCGTCTTCGCTGCAAAAATATTTCTTTTGTGGCTTTTCGCTGTTCCATTCATTTTATTTTTCAATTTAAGTTTTATCGTTCATTTATTTGTGTTTTGTTTTTCAGTTACTTATTCCTCTCCTTTGGTCAGGCTTGAGGGAGCGTTGAAACTGTGTGCCGTGCCGTGAAATCAATAAATTTTCTACTTTGTTGGGAAGAAGTTAAATTAAATTTTTTGACAGCGAATGCAAATTGCAATAAAAACAACAAGAAAACCATATTTGCCATGCAAGATTGATGAGTTTACCAGAGCTTATAACTCTGTGTGTGTAGCTATGAGTTTTTATGCAAATGTAAATATATTTAAACTACATAAGGGAACTTTCTGTGTATAAATTATCTTCGATCACTGCCGCTATATTATGTAGTGGTAAGATATAAGCGGATTCGACAGATGAGGAGCTTCTTCAAAATAAATTATTAGGTTAGGTTAAGTGGGAAATCCTAACATGGATCTCCCTTGGACAGCTTATAGGTTCGGTATGATACTTAGAACTCCTATAAAAATGAATAATGACCAGAACCCCTGGTATTGCGGCAAGATGCGCCTGCTAAGCGCACGTGAAGTCCATTAAATCAGTGATACAATGCAAAATGCCTAGGTAGATCCAACTCGCACTCATTCCGATGTCGAAAGCTGGTCGGCTTTGCAGTGTCCAGCGATTTTGCTGTGACCAGACACTCAAACAAGTCTAATGACGTAGTTTCTTGATGCTAGTGAAAACAGACACTCCTTGACTTGTTTTGAGCGCACAGTTAGGGAGCTCATCCTTAGTAGTTGTCGCTCTGCTGTCTGTGTGGATGCTGACCTCACAGCAAGAATCTGCACTTCCTAGCAATACGTCGACTGCCTCCTTGAAAGAAGTCACTTGGGCCTCAAAGTAACTGCAGTGATCAGGTAGCTTGAGATTGACGGAGAGCTCCTTTCAGAAAAATCCCGCTCCAACCAACCCTCCATCCATAAACAATCTCGTTACGCCCTCCTGTATGGCGTCCAGGACGTCCATCAGCATCAACTGATGTTCAACATCTTACTGAGATCGTTGGAGTATCGGAAAGATTAGTAAAAACTATTTTGAAAGATTATTTGGGCATAAGAAAAGTGAAAGCACGATTGATTCCAAAATCATGCAATTTTTTCGAAAAAATGCATTGTGTTAACCTCTGTGAAACAATGCTTTCCGACTACCAGAACCTGACTATAAGTCTTGAATCTATGCTTACGATCAGGAAACGGACGATCAATTGCTGAATATCCTGGCAAAGGTGAGCCAAATCCGAGAAAATCACGTCAAAGCAGGTCAAAAATTATGATTATGCTGACAGTTTTCTTCCATTATCGAGATATTATGAACTCTTGGTTTATATGTATTATGTTCTTCGTTACTAAACCTAAACCCATATTTGAGTTCAAAAAAACACCCAAATTAAGCCGTTACAGAACCAGCGCTTTTCGGCAAATATCCCGCCTCTTTACTGTCACTATAGCAAACGCATGTACTCTCCTCAACTTATCAGCTTGTTAATGCGCCCATACTGCCCAACTTATTGACAACATTGTCCGCTGTCCTCGAGCACCCATTGCTGCACTGAATTACTGAAAATTGCGCGCTCGTCACCAACATAACAGGGCAGTTGTTGCGTGTTTTTAAGCGTGTGCGCGTGCTCGCGTGTGTATGAGTGCGGTTGTAATCCAAAAATTATTGTGGAATTTGTACTGCTGCTCTTGTTGTCGTTGTTGGTGCCTCCTTCCGGTCATATTGTCAAATCGCCATTTATCTTGTCAACGCGTAACTTTTACCTCCAGGCCGCCCTCGCGCAGCACAAACTTTATATGCTCGTTATCACTAATGAAACGCTGACAACTCTGGTTTTGAGTTGAATGCAACAAAAACACAGTTTATTAGTGTTTCAGAATCATGCTTTTTTTTTATTTTTTGTTTTTTGTTTTTCAAGTGATTTGCAGCTGGCACCGAGTTTGACGAGGAGTTTGAAAAACAAAATAATTTGTATTTTCGGCGGGAATTCGCAGCAGTCCAACCAATGTTTCGCTGTGAAAAAAAGTAATTAAAACAGAAGAGTTTTTTGCTCTTGTCGCCGGTCATCAAACCACCAATGTCTGTGAAAACATTTTCAAGCATATTCACTCTAGTTTCATCTGGCTTTTGGTAGTCCAGATATCTTTTGAAATAATTTGAGATACATCAAGTTACATTGTAGCGACATCCAGTTTTATTCACCTTCATAGATAATGTAGCTGTTGTTGTTGTTGTGACCCCAGAATTCTGCCGCGTTGACAGCCCTTGATCGGATAAAAATGCAGGTCCGCTCCGATAGCGTAGACCCGATTCTCGTGAGAACGGGTATACCTTATAGGATCTCTCTAGCTAATGCGCTTCCGTCAAAATCGCTTTCGACTCTTTGAATTCCACATGTGCTTTTTGAAAGCTTTTGCTTTATTTTTGAAGACGTTCCGCCTTTACAATTTCACTTCACTCATGTTAATTACAAATCCACGGAGATGTAAGCACATAATGTCAAGTCGCTTCAGACTTTACTCTTCCCTCGTAGTGGCTTTCGACTTCACTCTGTCTAAAACGTGAAGTACTTGGGCCTCATGCTTGATAGAAAGCTATTATGGAAGTTTAATGTTGAAGAGCGGGTGAGGAAGGCATTGAGTGCCTTATATTGTTATAAAAGAAATATTGGGAAGCATTTGATTCTTCCACCAAAAGTTGTGCTTTGATTTTACAAAACCGTAAGTCGAAACTGTTCTATGTGGTTATTTTTTTGAATTCCGTCACATCTCCGCACACAGACACAGTCTAATTCGCTCATCGGTGAAGCTAAAGAGTTGGGAGGAGGCAACTTGTAAAGTTACAATGAGTACGATGAGGTAGAAACATCTATACACTCCCTCAGGCTAGGGTTGAAGCATTTCTGTTGTAATGTTTAAGTTTGATCGAACCCAGCATATTGGCTGGAATTGACCACAGCGGCCTCAGCGAACTTTAAGCGTTTTGTCGTTATGTGACGGTCGTTTTACTCCATATCGAGGAGTTCTGGCCAACGAAACGTGCAAGCGTCTGTAGCTGTCTAAGTGGTATTTTCGAATCGAATAGAAATCAGCATATTTACCTAATCTAACCTAATCTTATGCGAAATCTCGAATTGCTTAGTCCAATATGTACTAAGATGACTAAGATGTGGCATGCATACTGTCGCTAGTAATCAGTAAGGCTTATATAATGATATTGACTTTCGGAATGATGTTTAGTAGTCTTTAGCGAGCAATTCAAAAGACCCTTCTATCTGTCCTTCTCTTTCTCTCGCTCTCCTCTCTATCTTTCTCCGTCACACTCTCCCGCCTCTCGCGGATTCTCGATCTTTCCTTCCTCCGATCCCTACTCCTCTCTCTCCATCTTTATTTATCGCGATCCATACCTTTTTCCTTCTCCCGACCCCAACTCTCTCTCTCTTTCAATGCGCTCACAAGAATCATTCTAAATACGAGTTTTCTGCATCACACTCTCCCTATTTCTCTCCACTTCTGTTTTAACCGCTCTCTGTCTCTATTTTCCTAATGAAGCCACTCTTCTCAATTGTGGTAACAAGATGAAAATTGTTACTGGTATTTATGATTAGCCTCAGTTCTTTTGACTCCTACTATCTTTCACTAAATATATGTGAAAAGAAATTGAAAATCTCTCAATATTTTCAACTACAACAGCAAAGCATATATAATTGCATCGTTTCAATCTCATTTATTTGCAGAGCGAAATCAGCCCTGTTTGCCGAAACGTAATAAACGAGAATGCAAATCCTTTTGCTGTTGCCAGCACAAGGACGATGAGCGATCAAAGCGCGCGGCGATAGAAAGGCGAGAGGCGAAGAGTAACAAAACACTATCAGAGGAACTGCAAATACGAGCGTTGCAAAGAAGACGCTAACAAGCAGTTCAATATAGTGTTCATAGTGGGAACAAACCACAGCAAAAACAAAGCTAAAACAAGAAAGTCGAGAGCGAGCAGAGTATCCCGAAAGGGAAATAAACAATTTACGCAAACGATAAAAGTTAATAAAACACTTAAGCGGATTGTGCGACAGCATTGCCAAAGCGACAACAACAACACTAGCACTGGCAAAAACAGCGAGAAAAGCGAAAAGAAACAAGCTACAAAGATAAACGACACTGTGGCAACGAGGAATTGTGTGGCAACAACACCAGCAGCACATTAAAGTGGCCGAAGACCGAGCGCCACAGAGCAGGCGGGCGGAGTAGAACAAGCAGATATATTGCTAGTGCAACAGCAGCTGAAAGAGCTACAACAGAAACAGCAAAAGGGGGCCAATAGCAGAGTATAATCAATCAATATCGACCGTTGGACGAGGCAGCGTGCAGCAAAAACAAGAACACACACAAAAAGTAGTGACAGCGGAGGACATAAATAACGGACGCAACTGATAAGTAGTGCGACAGCGAGCGCAACAACAACAACAAACAGAAATATAAAAGAAAGTAGCTTGAAGTGGGCGCTGAGACAGCTTGCCGCACGCATCTTCTTAGTTGCAAGTGAAAGCAGCATTGTGTGCTGGACCTTAATGCAAATTACTTGAGATAATTTTAAGGAAGATGAGCAAGAAGCGACGCTTGCTTGCAGCGACAACAACACAACAACGACAGACAACGCGCAGCAGCGCGCACACTAGCCGGACGCAAAGAGCGACAGGGACCACAGGTGCCAGCGCGCTAAGCAAGATGCCGAGCGCTGTTGCCATGACGTCGGTGGATAATGCGCAAACAAGCAGCAGCAACAACAAAAATAGTGACACAATTCATTACAGCAACATTGACATAACACGCTGCAACGTCGGCCTCTACCAGCAGAGCGGCAGCAGCGGCGACGACGATCAGCGACGAAGCGAAAACGCCAGCAGTAAATCCCTTAGCTGCGTCAATTGTGCAAGTGCAATGTTAACGATAAGTAATGAGAATATTGGCAGGCGACAAGCAAGCTGCCTGCCAGCCACAGTCAACGCCAACAAAATGCCGGCATGTGGCAAGTACCAACGAAGCGCTGTGCAGCTGAGTGTGGGCAATGCAATGCAGGCAACAAATACAGGGTCACAGCAAGTGCACCATAGCGGCACTGCTAGCAGCGAGTTACGCAACTACAGCAACAACATGAAATATACGCTTGCAACACACTCGGCGTTGCAACAGAAGTGCAATAGTGAGCGCCAGGCAGCTGGTGGGCAGCTGCAAACAGAGCGCGGCATGCAACAAGAGCAACGCAAATGGCGTCAAACTCCGTCTGCACACGCAGCGGCAGCTGACAAGCCCAAATTTGAGGCAGCGTCCTCCGCGGCCGAAACTTCGCAGTGTCAAAATGCAGCAGCTGGAACAGAAACAAAAACAGAAATCAAAACCAGCTCCCAGCCACTTTCAATCAAGTTGACTACGTCGCCAAAGGTAAATGTAGCAATCGCTGCCAATACGAAGAGAACAAGAAAATCTTTGGAAGCGGCTTTCGTGTGTCCGCGCGCCGCTGAAGCGAACTCCGGCGCCGCACTGGCAGCTGCCAGTTCGTTGACTCCAACAGATCCGTCTGTCATACCTACGAACACCTACGCACCTGCAGCATTACCAACAACAAGCAACACAACAACAACACGTGCCGCTGGCGCTCGCTGGTCTGAAGACTTCGTGTGCTGTCGTTCGTCAAAGTATGCCTCCAACAGTGAAATGAACAACAACAACGGCAGCAGCATTGCAAATGGTTTTGTTTGGTTATTGCCCGTGCTCTGCCTGTTGGCTGCTTTCGGCTGTGGTCAAGCTGGCTTCGCTTGCCTGAGTAATCCTTGCGTTTTTGGTGTCTGCATCGATGGCTTGAATAGGTAAGTGAAAAAACGGTATACATACATACTTATATACATACGTATCTCCCCGCACAAATACTATGCTTGTTTATCATTTTCATTTTATTTTTTCCAAGTTCCAATTTTAGTAAATGTATCCTACATGTTACAAAATCTCATCCTTCTCCACAATTATGATTTTTTTTTCTTTCGTCTTTCATTTCTTTCCAAGCTTATATGTGTATAAGAGCTTATAATTTAACCACTTGAGCTGCTGATAACCTATTCCTCGTACAGTCATTAGTCGAAACAAAAACCCACTCAATCTAGTACAAATCACTCAATCTGGCACACATTTTTGAAAAATTCGTGAAACTAATACTTTAAAATATGTCAAAAGCATGAGCAAAGAAGGCTCAATGAAAGTGTGAGAAGTCCACGAAGAGTGATCTCGGGACTAAGCCCGGGCAACAACCAGCAGTCAACACCTCAGACAACCACCTACAGACCACATGCACGCTCTTTAAATTTCAAAACATAGTCCACCGACAGACTAGTTTACCATGTACTTAGACGAAATTCAATGTTATTTGCTTCAAGTTAAACCATTCAAGGGAAAATAGAGGTCTGTTTTGTACTATTTTCTAATATATTACTTCTGCGCTTTTCACCTAAAAGTTCGCAAGATAAAAAAGGCTTATTAAATAGCAGTTCATAGAAGCCTCAAAAATTATACTTTGAACTTCTTTACGTATGGGTCAACGCTAGCGAATGGTTTGGTGTAGCGATATATTACCAGCAACTCTATATCAGCTTCAGTTTGAGACTTCTTCTGGGAAGTAGCTGTCCACTCTGATAGCAGGGTAGCGATGGTGATCGGGCCATTGTAAAGCCAATAAACTCGAAAGCCTTTCCCTGTTTTTACTACAATGTAAACTAATGTAGCTCATCTTTTCTCGTGTGTTCTACTACTCGATAACTGGGCTTCGCGTGAGATTGGCCAGCGCTGGGCTACCATCATTGCACTGTCGTAAGATCATTTTGGCACAAGATCGGTTGTAAGTGATCCGTGGACCCTATGCTCGCAGTAAAAATAACCTATCCCTATTTGTGGCTTTTCTACTTAACAGGTCTTTACCCTATCGCCGTCCATACTGAAAAGTTGAAAATCTTCCCAGCTGCAGAACCTGCATGGAAGAAGACGAATAGAAACATTTCAGCACTTCCTTCTTAATTGTCGCGCATTTACGAGATTGAGGAATCTCACACCTTCAGATATCTCAATGATTGGTGGGAATAGAAATTAAACGCATTAGCGTTATTGACCACAAGGCGCTTTACCTACTTATAAGTTCGAATTACAAGAATTAGATTTGTATGGCTGCACAAGGGATCCAAGTGCGATCTCTGGATTAGCCGTCAAACCGAACCTAACTTTAAATATAGTGATTGAGCGGTACGAGTTCCTATGTTCCATCCAAACATTATGGCAAAATACATATCGCACCTAAAATGCAAAACAGAAAACCGCTATCAGATATAATAACCAATATATAACCATTTCATACTCAAAACTCAAAATTTATTTCAATATGAGTGGTTTCAATTATGTCACCTTTCTTCCGCCTGCCAACTTCGGAAAAGTGATGGTAAGGTATTTTATATTTTTGATGACGAGAAATATGTTCAAGTATATGTAACTTCTCCACAATTTTTGTATTTTACTTTTTGGAACTCATTGATAGAGCACTATCTTCTGACGCGACTTTGCCACCGTTTTGGACTATAAAACAATGCCTTAATTTAAGCATTTGTCTCATATTTCTTTTCCCATCTTATACTTCCATCTGCGAGTATTACAATTGTGCAATTCCTCATTACATTAAACATCTTGCTCTTCGTCCTTTGAACACTTAACCATACCATAGATATTTCGAACATTCTGCTGCACATACCAATCCACCGGCCAACCTTGTAGCGTTTCTTCTAAACCTATACATATACACAATTTTATGTTGCATGCGCTTCCCCACTCACTCCGCCACACTCTCTTTCTACCGATAGGTGCACTGCAGTCCCACTGTTGCACCTAAGTTTATCAACAAAGTGGCTAACAACATCCTTTAAGCGTCGCACTCGTTCGCCTTTAACTTTTCTTTTCAACTCTTCAACTCTTTCGTTTCGAACATCATTACGTGTTTGCTTAACGCTTTTTCACTCGCACTGTAGCACACACACACACACACACACACACATACAAACAATATGTGCATGTGGGCGTGTGTGGCGATACTCAAATACCAATCAACCCCAATCAACCCGTTCGAGTGGCAATAATGCACGTTGCTGGCAAAGCAGCATTAACGTTGATTACTTTAGCCCCGCGTGTGTCATTAAAGTGTCGAGTGCACAAAAGTACTCCAACTGCACTTCCACCTTCTCAAAATATGCTGGCAACACCCCCACCGTCACCACCATCTCCACACTTATACGTCTGACTTACATAGAAAGCAGCCAGTGGGTGTGAGGCTGTCACGGGGTCATAGGTCATATGCGTTCACACCACAATTGACTTTAAGTGGTCGACGGTCGTCACACATATATACAGTCCAAGTGTATGTGGAAATATATGTAAGTGTATGTTCTTCACCTATATCCAACAGTGTATTATTCCTTTGGTTTTTCTGTGGTTTGTTTTACGGCCACCGGGCGTATGAGCAACGCACAGTGACGCGGCTTAGGAATTATTTTTATATTTTTTTATAAGACAAATTGAAGGAAGTGGGTACAACGCTGCGATTTTATAATATTTTTAAAAGTTTTTCACTATTTTAAACCCTAAATATATGCTTAAATTTTTTGAAAAGCGGATTTTTCGTTATATTAAACTGTTAAAATTTTTAAACTTCATAATATTTTCGATTAATTATTTTTATAGCGAACTGACAACGTCTTGAAAATGTTCAACCCTAAATGTATCCGTAATTTTTTTTTTTTTTTTTTTTGTTATTCAACACATAAATTTTTATATTTTTTGCCGTTTCTAAATCTACAATTCTAAATCTACAATTGACAACTTCTTCAAAATTTCCAAGCCTAAATGTATGCTTCAATTTTCTCAAAAGTGATTTTTTCTTAGACGAAACGCTTGAAACAGCATATATTTCGAGCAGTTTTAGTTGAATGCATATTATTCCAGCTTTTCTAAGTCTAGAGCTGTCAATTTCTTGAGAAGCTCCTAATGATCCACACTTTACTAATATGCCTTTATAAGCTGGCACACAATTTAAGAATTGATGTAAGAAATATATATTTTCTGACCGAAATTCCACTGTGCTTCATCTATCTGCAGCACTCTGCCTGCCACTGTACTTTCCACTCTCTTTCCTGCCTCTTTCTCTTCAGCTCGTTTGATTAGTTCGATTATTTGAAGTCATCAGTGGTCAGCAGCTCACTTTGTTTATTTGTGTGGCTAGTACTGAATTGAAATGCGTTTTTGCTAATGACAACAAGCGTTTCTTTAGTTCTTCTCAATTGCATTTGCCGGCTGCCCTTTCAACGGCTTGTGGCATGCAACTGTATTCAACGGCAACTTTTCGCAGCGATTGACAGCAAATGATTGCGGCTAAGGCAAATAAAAATGAGCATTTCAATGTGTATTACGTGAGGTTAAGGAAATAGTACGCGCAATTGTCAGTCGTCATTTTTGTAGGATTTGTGTTGTCCCTTTTTGAGTGAATTTTAAATACCATAAGTAATTACAATTCTCCCATTTAAAACTTATTTCATATGTGTGAAAATGGTTTCTGCTAGGTGTGCGGCTTCGCTGATTTAACAATACGCCTGAATGTAGGCAAAGTATACTTTATTCAGCCTTCAACTAGCTGAGTACTGCTGGCAAATAATTTTTAAGATTTTAGTTTACTTTTATAGAAAAAAACTACATAATTGAACCTTCACTGGGCAAATATTAATAAAGAGGAGTGCGATATTTGAATTAGACTAGGTGTGTGACTTAAGTCATTCATTTGCACTGCTAAAAGTAGGCAATTGTTTTCAAGTTGATGCGCAGCTGAATGGTTGACTTTCATATTATCCAATTCAATCGGTTTGAAACGGTTTATATAACTGAAAAGAGTTAAGAACATTTCTTTTATTTCCACAATTACTTTTTTACAATTTTGAGAGTGAAACAACATTCCAGTCAACAAATTTCGATGGAAAGTCCTTTATGGTAAATTTTCATACCATTAAACTCACCTTCGATATTGCTCGAACACCACCTGGTATTAATACTTAATAAAAATTGTGTGCCACAGCTGTTGCAACCGCTGCCAAAATTCACTTCAAATGAAATGGAAATTGAAAATAGCCAAAAATTCCACCAAAAGCCAAGCAAAAGTAAGCAAATATCTGCCAATCCACAGCAAGTTAGCTATTTAATGTTGCTAATGTGTGCAACATATGTGGCAAAGGTCACAAGTGTGGCAAGTGAGCATTATACCTAGTAATACACAAAGGAAGTGTGAAAAAGAAAGTGGCAAAGAGAGTGCCGGTTAGAGCCAAATGTGGATTTGGCAAGTGTGTGGCACTACGAAAGAAAACAACGAAAAAACAAGTCACTACAACAAAAACAACAACTGCTTTGGGGCTTCTATTAGCTCTATTTCATAAAAGAAGTCGAAAAAAGAACGGTAGTTGTAGAAATGGTTTAATGCCAGCTCATTTCTGTAATGGTGATAAGGCAAATGGCATGAAATGCTTTGAGCCTAACAGCTGGCTGCTTAACAAACTGCTGATTTACTGCTTTTATCAACTGGCAAGCAGAAACTTGGCAAGCAGCATGCGAAAAAGGCGAAACTAAAGCGAAAATTATTGCAAAGAGATTTCACAAAGATGTCGTAATTGAGTGTGGACCACCGACAGGATATGATTTAAAGGAAAAACTGTGCAAAGAAGAAGCACTAAGCAAGGAAATCATAAAACGAATTACAGCGAATATATGAAAAATGAAGCTAAAATGTCTATGAAACAAGAAAAATATGTTAACTTTGGCTGCATAGAAGCAAAAATATACTTTACATTTGCCTTTTAATGGCTTAAAAGTGTATAAAAAGGACTTTACCTTGAAGTTTCTCGCTCAGTTTGTATGGCAGTTACATTCTATATTGAAATGAAGTGCACAATTTCTTGAGATATCAAAGCGCCACTTTGGAAAATAACTCATGACAAATATCATGTAGATATCTCGGCAAAGAGAAACATTTTTCATAAAATAATTTAGTTTAGATCGTTCACTTTGTACAGCAGCTATATGCTACAATGATCCAATTTTAAAACTTTCTTCAGAGAATACACCATGTCTTCAGGCAATAATCCATCCACATTTCTTGAAGATAACTCTTCAAATCAAAAAGTTTTCCAGACAAGTAATTGATACCGAACGTTCAGTTTGTATAGCAGCTATATGCTATAGTAAACCAATCCAAATAATTTCTTCAGGTGCCATAGTGTTCTCTTGGAAAAAAAAATCATGCCAAATTTCGTGATAATATCTCGTCAAATAAAAAACTTTTCCATACTAGAACTTAATTTAGATCGTTCAGTTTGTATGGCAGCTATATGCTAAAGTCGTCCGACCTAAACAATTTCTTTGGAAATTACACTATTGTGTTAGACAATAAGCCACACCAAATGCCGTGAAGATATCGCGACAAAATAAAAAGTTCTCCGTACCAGCTCTTGATTCCTATCGTTCAGCTTGTATGGCAGCAACACGCTAGAGTAATCCAATCTGAACGATATCTTCGAAGATTATAACGCTATCTTTGAAAATTATATATGCTAAATTTCATAAAGGTATCTGATCAAATAAAAAAGATTTCCACACAAGAACTATATTTCTTCCAGCAGTTTATATGGCAGCTATATACTATCATGGTCCGATATCTTTGATTCCAACAAGAGAACAGCTTAGTAAGAAGAAAAAAACTTGTGCAAAATTTTAAATCGAGATCTCAAAAAATTAAGAAACACTTCTCGCATATAAAGCCAGAAAAGAAAATGAGAGAGAAGCGGACTTAGCTAAATCAAATAAGTTTGTTTTCCGATTGTTTATATATATACTTTATGGGATCTTAAATATTTCCTTCTCTGCATTACAAACCTCGTAGCATACTCAATACACACAGTCCAGGGTATAGTAAGAAGCATCACATATTTCATAACAAAGTGCGAATCCACGAAGAGCGCATAGGAAGCAGCCAGAACATGAAAAGTTTCCTCCATCTTTTGCTGCAAAATCTCTACCATATTATAGCAACTAACTCGCAATAACTAAGTGAAGCAATTGCAAGTAGAAAAGGGCTTATAATATCCTCAAATGAATATGCGTGCAACACAACAGTAAAAATACCAACTAAATTACATAGAAGCAACAAAAAAAAAATGTGCACAATAAAAAAGTAGTTAAGAAGCAATAACAACTTCTTGTGAGCGCACAGCAAAAGCAGCAAAGCATTGCAACGTAAACTATATTAAATGGGCAAAGGCGGTGCGCGTTAGAAAAAAATGAGGTAACGTATACGCACTGGCGCACAGCAAAGCCACAGCTGCACTACACCTGCACGCGTATGTATTATTATATGTATGTGTGTACATCGCACTGACTACATTTGAAGGTGTATGCGTTGAGTTATGTGCGTGTGTGTCGCGTCTTCAGGTTGCTCCGTTTTTTTCCCGGCTGAGACGCTGATTTACGTGTACATATGTATGTACATGGTGCTTGAAAAGGCTTTACGAAGTTGTTAAAAGTTTGTGGGCCAGCATATGAGGTATTTTTCTTACTATTTCATTAATAAAAAGTGGCAGGCTTTGTTACTATTTATAAAAGCAGCTGTGCGCATAATCACTACAGTAGTTCTATTCTATGCATTTCTCTGGGCCCGTATATTTTTAGACTTTTGTGCCACATTTTTTTCCTTTTCTTGTAGAGTCTTTCATATACTTTGTAACAAATGTTTATGCCGGAGAAAATTTTGCTTCTCCTGACGCGTTTCCGAGGAGGCAGTTGCTGGTAGCGAGTGATGTCTGATTGAGAGTCAGAGTTTTTGAAAAAAATTTCGAAACATTGCGCTTCCTCTAACTACTAACTTCTCCGATTTCGAAGATGATGATAAGGATTCAATACGTAAAAATTATGTTTCTTTATCAGTCCGGGTCAAATTTGATCAAAGCGGTTTAACTTAATGTGCTGTTCCGTACTGTACTTATACTTGTATACTCTATTTGTATAAAATAGTTTGCTATATGACATGACTTTTTCTATATTCTATATACAGAGCTCTTGAAGGAATATTCGACGAAGATTTCGTATTCACAGAGTTTTTCAACATTTCTCATGTAAGGACATAGTAAATATTGGTGGTTGTAAAATAATAGCTCAGTTACTCTTTTTCTACACTTGGCTTCACAGCGTTATTTTTGACTATTGAAACTCAAATATTGGCTCTGGAGAAAGCCATGTGATGCGAAGGTAGTCGTAGAAAGAAATTCGCTAAATAAAAACCGGATTAAACGTGAATTTCTTGTACCGACTCAAAGAGAAAAGAATTTTACTCACAAAATATAAAATTTGCCAAAAAAAAAATATGTTAGGCAAGGTAAATTTGGCAGTCCAATAAGCCACGCATAGACCAGCTTGCTAAATCAAAAGTTTGACTCAAATAGAAAATATCTGACTAACAGAGAAAAGACTCAAAGGAAAATACCCTGAATTAAGCATTTAAGCTGACTTAAATAGAAAAACTCTAACCCAAATGGGAATATTCTGTCCCACAGTACGACAAATCTGACTCGAAGAAAAAAACAGATTCAAAGCGCGTAGACAATCGTTAAATGAAAAAACTGATTTTAAGAAAACTAACTCTGACTGAAAAGCACTGACTCATAGTGAGACATATCCGACTCAAAAAGGAAACAGAAATTCAAAGAGCAAAAAGAAATCTTCACATGAAAAAAACTGCCCTTAAGAGGAAAAACTCTGACAGAAACAGAGAAAAATACTGACTAAGTGCGAAATAAAACTGATTCATTATGAAAAACTCTAACTATGAGCGAACAAATTATGAATCCAAAAAAAAAAAAATATTTTAAAAGAAAAACTGTTTGAAAGCGAAAAATCTATTTTCTAAAAGTAAAATCTAAAAAAAGCTAAATCCAAGAAAAAACTCTAACGCAAAGAGAAAAATCTCAGGCTGAAAGAAAAAAACTCTAACACAAAGGCAAATCTGACTCAAATAGAACATAAGAGATTCAAAGCGATTAAAACTATTTTTGAAATGAAAAACATTTGCTTTAGGTGAAAAAACTCTGACTGAATGAAAAATAAAACTGACTGAGTGCGAAAAAACTATGAGTGAAAATAATATGACTCAAAATAAAAAAGTGATTTTAAGAGAAAAATTTACTGCAAGCGAAAAATTTATTTTTCAAAGAGAATAAAATCTGACTTAAAGCGAAAAAGCTTGACTCAAAGAAGATAAACTCTGAATCAAAGATAAAAAAACTCAGATCCTGATGCAAAGAGAACAAGCTCTGACGCAAAGACAACGATATCATACCTACAGAGATTCAAAGTGCAATAAAGATTAACAAATGGATGAATGTAGAAGAAAAAACTCTTACTCAAAGAGAAAGAATTTACTCAATGCGAAATAAAATTGACTCAGTACGAAAAAACAAAAGCACCAGTTAAAAAATTACAACTCAAAATGACAAAAATATTTGTTAAACTGAACTAACTCAAACTGACTCAAAGCGAAACATATATTATTCAAAAAGAATGAAATCTGATTCAAACCAAGAAAAGGCTGGCAAAAAAAAATAAAAAATAAAAAACTCTAACTCAAAGAGAAACTTCTCCGGCTCAAAGAAAAAATCTGACGCAAAGAGAATGAATTCCGACTCAAAGAGAAAAAAATAATATCGAAATATTTTTAAAGAGACGCTACTAAGAGAGACTTTAACTACATTTCAAGCGCCCATGTTACTTTTGTTGTAAATATTAACAAACAAATAACTTCTTCTTAATTGAGATTCTGACAAAATTAAGCTTAAACAAGGCAATTGCTTTCTGAAGAACAAATCTGAAATCTTAAAAATGTTTAACACATATTTTTGAGACCACAAATGGTTGCTATATATTATATATTTATGTATATCCTTTTAATATTTATTTATTTTATGCCGATTCCAACCCAAATTTAGCGCCACCTTACTTTTTTTTACTATTTTCATTTGTTATTTTGTTTGTTAATTTTTTTCCGCCGTTACGTTTGTGTCATTCCAGCAACTTTGCGGTGGCATTAGTATGCACACCTACACACACACAAACATGCACACATACGCAAAAACATTAATGCAAAAGCAGGAAATTGTATACAGAAACACATTTAAAACTACACCTGACAGCACAGAAACACAAAAGCGTAAAATTAAATGTGCCTCCACACAGACAAAAAGACACATACATACCCACACACCTTCATGACGTTACCAGCATTGGTCGCTCATATTCGTATGTGTATATATGTATTTACTGTTAGTCTATAGTATTTTTCATACTTGTTCACCACTAACTAGTCTCCGCTGTGTCTTCTTTCCATTTAATACTCATTTGTTGTGCTGTTGTTGTTGGTGTTTGTTTATATTTTTTTCGTTTTCTCACTTTTGACTATCCAGCAGCTCGTATTCATGCTACTGCATCGACGGTTACACGGGAATTCAGTGCCAAACAAATTGGGATGAATGCTGGTCGGGGCCCTGCCAAAACGGCGGCACTTGCATAGATGGCGTCGCCTATTACAACTGCACGTGTCCGGATGGTTTTACTGGTAAGTGGAGTCGCTCGCACAGCATGCAGTGAGTGCTTTCGAAAGCGCTCGAACACAAACGCACTTACATACATGCAGATATGTAACTATATGCACGCTTATGTGTTGCTTTTTACATGTATTTGTATGTATGTGTGTGTTCGTGTGTATTTGCCCTACTCCTAACCTCACTTATTTGCCTCGATACAATACTTTTACATTTTTTATTGGCATTCACTCCCTTTTGCCATTGTTGTTATTGTTGTAACAACAGGCCAACAACTCGAAAGCGTCGAGACTCGGAAACTCTATTTTAGTGCTATTTTTAAGCTACTCACATTTGTTTGGCCATTGTTTCGCCGCTATCCCAATGCGAATGTGAGTGGGTCTGAAGGAGTGCACACGCACACACACACATATGCATGCATATAACTTTACAAATACATATGCCGTTCGTTGTCGTGTAATGTAGCCTGTATATTTGTGTGTGTATGTGTGTGTGTGGCGCACGTGTAACATGAATTTTATTGTGTTGGGAACAAACGAGACCGCAAACCAAGAATACAAAACCTGTCTCTTATACACATCTAGATGTGTATAAGAGACAGGTATATTTGTGTGTGTATGTGTGTGTGTGGCGCACGTGTAACATGAATTTTATTGTGTTGGGAACAAACGAGACCGCAAACCAAGAATACAAAACAATACCTGAAAGCAGAAAATGGAAAAAATTTGTAAATAAAGCAAATATACGAATAAATATAGATATAAAGATAAAGGAAAAATAAGTGTGTTACGGATAGTCAGCAAACAAAAGTTCGGTTTGATGCTGCACTGATTTTATGCACTAAATGAAATTAGAATAAGTAATTGATTTAATATTTTCTGGTAAGCTTTAAAATCAATTAAAAGCGAGAAGGGCAAGCAAGCAGGGCAAATTTCTGGAACATACATATCTTCTCAAATAAGAAAGTCTCCCATACAAGGGCATGATTTTGATTGTTCAGTTTGTACGGCGGCTATATGCTACAGTGAACCGATATGCGCCATTTCCGCGGAGATTGGATTACTGTTTTGGATAATAAAATATACCAAATTTCACAAGGATAACTCATCAAATAAAAAAGTTTTCTGTACAAGAACTTGAATCCGAGCACTGAGCTTGTACGGCAGCTATATGCTAATGTGATTCGATCTGAACAGTTTCTTCAATTATTATACGATTATTTTGGACAATGATCCATACCAAATTTCTTGAAGCTATCTCGTCAAGAAAGACACTTTTTTATACGAAAGCCCGATTTTGTTCATTCAGTTTGTATGGAAGCTATATGCTATAATGGTCCGTTCTAAACTATTTGTTCAGTTACTATTTCATTGCTTTGGTTTATCACCTGTGGCAAATTTCATAAGGATATGTCGTTAAATAAAAAAATTTTTCCTACAACAACTTTACTCTGATCACTCAGTTTGTATGGCAGCTATATGCAATAAATGCCGATATGAATGATTCCGACGAATAAATAGCGCCTTATGAAGAAAAAAACGTATGCAAAATGTCATATCGATATCTCAAAAACTAAGAGACTACTTCGTTTATAGAAACAGGAATGGGAACACGGGAATGGCTAAATCTTCTCAGCTTGTCACGCTGATAATTTGTGTATATATCTATTTTATACGGTATTCGACGTTTCTTTCTTGGTATTTCAAACTTCATGCCAAACTTAATATAGCCTTTCGATTATAATTACAAACTCTTACTTCTTCTCACACGAAATACCAAGTACAACCAGATCCTTAGCCTCTTGATTTATTCAACGTAGTCGAGGGCTTCCTCTTTCTTTATTTCGAAAACCGTCAAAGCTGGATTGTGCTCTTCCATATGGACAACATGACCTAGCGAGCGTAGCCACTGTCTCTTAATTCGCCGAACTATGTCCTCGTAGATCTCATACAGCTCATCGTTCCAACGCTTAAGATTTTTCGTCATCTTTCGCAGAACCTTACTCTCGAAAACTCAGAACGCCGATTCATCAGACGTCGTCATCATCCATACTTCTACACCATATAGCAGAACGGGAATAATGAGTGACTTATAGAGTTTGATTTTTTCAGAGAGGACTTTACTTTTCATTTTGCCGATTCAGTCCGAAGTAGCAACTGTTGGCAAGAGATATTCTGCCTTGGATTTCGAGGGTGATATTCTTCTTGGCCTTGGTGCTGGTTCCAAGATAAACGAAATTATCTAGTCACGAGTGAGACGACAGGTTTTTGATGGCAGGAGATATTTCGTCTTGTCCTTGTTCACAACCATAGCAGATTACTCGCGCGAGATTGTGTTCTCGACTACTAGCCGTGGTAAAATACACCGAAATTTTAACGAGCCGATAGAAAATTCGATTGGAGCTTTGATTTGGATCATAAAAATTTCATTGAATAATAAAACTATGACCTCACTTCTAATCTTTCTTATAGGAATAGTACTTCGAAATAACTCTGAAATTTAGATTAAATGCTCTCAAACCACCATTAGGCAATGTTCATATAGTGTAAGGTATGGTACAGAAAATATGTGAAATGAGTACACGTTAACGCTAACTTCTTTCTTAAATACTTTTTACTATATTTAAAGTGTCTATTTAAACGTGTACTTTCATATATGAGTATACATATATAATATATGCAGCTGTGGGTGTATTCGATTTGGTGGTTTAATTTTACATACACACATATACAGGTCTAACACGCAGCCACCGAAACTCACCGTAACCTCCCGCTCTCGCTCCCCGACTACATCTCCACCAACAAACTTAACATGTATACACATATATATTGTACCTATGTATGTAGGTACGTATGATCATGCATAAATGATGTCAATGTGAATATTCTCGGATTCCGTTATTTGTTGCGGAAGTACTCTCGGCGCTACGTGTGAAGCACTTAGTCGAAATGGAGCAAAGAAATGTAAACAATGCAGCGCACACTTGCACACAAACAAACGCACAGTTGTAGGTATAATCATATATATATAGTATATGATATATACGTATATATATATATATAATTCCTAGGCGCTTAACGGTAGCTGTAAATATTTTTGGGAACAAATCTACAAGTTTAGCGCTAACATTTTTTGCCACTTTCTTCACTGGACGAATTCATGCACGTAATGCACTTCGGCAATCACAGCAGTATGCGCAGCTGTGCGTGAGTGTATAGTGACTCCCACTTTGCATGCATATTTAAAGTGTGTAACACCGAGTCATTTGCCGTTTCCGAACACTTATTCGTAGCCATTGAAGTGTGTGAAAATTTATTATTCCGGCAGGATGTGTTGAAACTCAGTTAGCGATTGCTTTCTGCATTTCGATTTGTACGAAACCAGCAAATCGTGTGGTGCGCTGTATTTATAGTAAAGGTGATGAAAAGTTGCTTTTAAAGGAGTAAGCAAGATGCTATTAAACATTACTTGTATACTCTATGCAAGGGATATTAAATTTGGCAAGAAGTTTGTGACCGCCAGAAGGAAACTTCGGGACCCAAAATGGTGTATCTCACCTTCTATATATACGCGAGTTAGACCTTCAGTTTCTGAGAAAAGATGTGAAATCCAAGAGGCGCTGCCATACAAACTGAACGATCGCAATCAAATGCTTTTACGGTAAACTTTTTCATTTGTTGAGCTATCTCAGCTATAATATCCTAAGTCAATGTTTATTCTTTTTCTGCATTAATCATGCCTCTGCAGACTTTTTGATTATTATATGTGATAAAGTTAAAGCTCGCAGCTTACTAAGTTGAGCCACCCTTAGGAAAAGAAGTCCAAAAAATGAAATTACTTGATATGGGCTGACGGGCAGACCTATGATAGGATTCAATGAATTATTCATTCTTAAAAACGGCCAGTTCTGTGCTCCAATTTCGCCTCCGTGAAGTAAGAAATCTCAATATCTAGCTATTTTTATAGTTCACCTCTTATCACACTTTTAGAAATAAGTGAGGCTTTGGTCATATGCAGTAAGAGTTTTAAAATATTTATAGTCTTTCGATACCCTGTCTGAGGAAACAGTCATTGATAACGCAGTCCAGTAAATTAGTGAAACTAATTAACTCGGGTTTTAATATACACATATTATAAATTTATCGATACATATTTTTTTTTTATTTTTTTAGGAAAAAATCGATTTTTTAGATTTATGTTGAATTTATTTCTGCAGAACACGTGCACTTCTCTACTCCATTCTGCAGCAAAGTAGATATTCTTGAGATTAGCTTCATCCGCAAACTTATTAAGAGCTTTAATAATATTTTTCAGCCGTACAGAATTTTTTTTTGAATGCCTCCTCGGTAATCAAAAAGGCACCCACAGAGTAGTATTTATGTATAAATGCGCCCTGTAGCCATGGCGTGCCCTTGCTGTACGCATGCTGAGCACTTAATAACCCTTTCCTTGGAGCTCGACTCCTAAGAAGTCCATGAGTGTCGCTAGCGTTTTCAATAGGAATGAGAAGAGACTGATAAGCATATTTTCCTTAGCAGTAACAAGAGAGCGTTTACCGGCCTTCGGCATGAACTTTACGCTAAGCCATCTCCAAGCCACCTCCAAGGCGACAGCTTTACTCCTGCAACTTACAAAAACAGCATGTTTTCAGTGAAAGCCGAAAAAATGCAGAGCGATTCCTATGAATAATATTTTAAAATTCATAACATTGATATGGCAACGCATGCTAATTAAATATGTTTTCTCCAGCAACATTTTTCTACTTGCAACAGCAGTCAAACGCACCTACGCACATCATTTCTAACGGTAGAAACATATAAATTTTTATATTCATGAAAAAATGCCTTCGGATGGGCAGATTCCAATGAAACTCAGCATTGCCAAGCTTAGCGCGTTGCCAGTCAGGAGTAATGATGCGCCGGGAAAAATGAAATCAAAACGCTTTTGCAACAACACAAAAACCCAACATATATGTATATAAAGATGCACACACACAACCATACATACAATTGCA